GTATGTGTCAAAGTTCTAACCTCTGCTATCCCAGAATATTTTTGGAGATGGACCCTTAAAGAGGTCATTCAGATAAAATGAAGCCGTTAAGATGGAGTTTAATCCAATGAAACAGGTGTCCTTATTTAAAATTGGCAATGTGGACACAGACATGCACAGTGAAGTGTTATCCCTGAGATCACCCACTAACCAGGGAGCCAGACCTGGCACAGGTCTTCCCTCACAGCATACAGAGGAAGCAGGCCCGCTGACACCTTGATGTTCTACAATCATAACAGAATAATCATTTGTTCGAGATACTGGAGAATGATACTGTACTTTATTATAGCAGACCTAGCAAACAAGGATGTTAATTATATATAATTATTTTATTGTCATATAAGCATGAAACAAATGTCATTTGCAGTAAAATGCACACTTTGATGAAAATGCCAAAGTACAGCTATACCAAAAACTGTAATACTTTAGTACTCTGCTCGCAACAGCTATCAACCATGGTTGAGTGACAGTGTGACCGTAGCCTGGCATGGTGGCCTGTACTGGCAAGGCAAACACAAAACTTGAGCAGTATTAATCCCGGCACATGATTTTCCTCAAAGAGTGAACAACTCTTGGCAAAGTCCCAAACCAAACAAATTTACCAAGGAGTCTCATTCCTGGAAAATTCAAAAGCGTATATGCTTATATTTATACAACAGGGCTGGGTTCTAGGCTGAGATCGTTGTAAATGGGCTTTTCACCTAAATGGTGTCTTGTGGAACCTGCCGGGGTGACAGGCAGCACTCATCTTCCTGCAGCTCTGCCCAATGGGAAGCTGTCTTGCATCTCAGGCTCACTCCACTCAGTTCATTAGGATACCTGTAGTCCTAACACCCCAGACATCTTATTTCTAAAGTATTCCCTAATGGGGGAATTTGCCTCTTATCTTATTCTCCTTAATAAGATTAAAGGAGAAACATTATATAACTCACGCCCTTGGGTGTTTGGCCAGTCACACTGCACTTTCTACCAGAATTTTCTTCCAGAGGAGCCTCGGAGCTGGCACTACAAAGCAGGCAATGTCAAGTTAATGGCAGGTTGTTCTGTTGGTGTTGTTAATAATATTTGATACAGTGTGCTAGCCAGTGATTATCAACCTGTGGATCACAACCCACAGGGGTCACCTAAGACCATCAGAAAACACAGGTATTTACATTATGGTTCATAACAGTAGAAAAATTACAGTTATGAAGTAGCAATGAAAATAGTTTTATGGATGGGGGTCACCACAACATGAGGAATTATATCAAATGGCCTCAGCATTAGCAAGGTTGAGAACCACTGTGCTGGGCAAACACTCCACCACTGACTTATATCCCAGGCCTTAAAAACCATATTGCTTGTTTATTTATTCATTGTGTGTGTGCATATATGGTAGGGGGTGATGGCGGGTGTGCCTGGGTTCAGGTACAGAGGTCATAGGACAACTTGGCTAACCCAGTTCTCTTCCACGTTTGCAAGGGCTCTGGGCATTGAATGTAGGTCACTCAGCTTTGTACAGCAAGCATTTTTACCTGCTGATCCATCTTCCAACCCTTCTCCCACTGTAATAAAAATTAAAATTAAAAACTTTTTGTTAGCCGGGCGGTCGTGGCGCACGCCTTTAATCCCAGCACTCAGGAGGCAGAGCCAGGCGGATCTCTGTGAGTTTGAGGCCAGCCTGGTCTACAAAGTGAGTTCCAGGAACGGCGCAAAGCTACACAGAGAAACCCTGTTGGAAGACTACAAGCTCGTGACTGATCTGAACATATCAAGACTCTGTCTCAAAACAAAAAGTCTTCCAACTTAGCCCCCAGCACAGATGGGATTATGCCAGATCAAGTTGGCATTTTCTTTTAAAATTTTTTTCTTCATTGTGTAGTATTATTATCGTTAGTTACTTCTATGTTGCTGTGACAAAACACCATGACCAAGGCAACTTATTAAATAAAACATTTAATTGGGCTTATGGTTTCTGAGGTTTAGCATCCACGGTGGCAGAGCAAAGGCATGGTGGCAGGAACAGTTGAGAACTCACATCTTGGTCCACAAGCATGAGACAGAGAGCACTATCTGGGAATGGTGTGGGCTTTTGAACGCTTAAGTCAGTCCTCAGCAATCCTCCTTCTCCAACATGGCCACACTTCCTGGTCCTTCTCAGTCACCAATCAGGGACCAAGTCTTCAAATGCCCAAGACCTAATGAGAGGAATTTCATTGAAGCCACCACCACCACCACCACCACCACCACCACCACCACCACCACCACCACCACCACATCATTACCATCATCATCATCATCATCATCAATGGTGGTGATGATTGGGATTGAACCAAGGCCTTACAGGGGCTAGACAATTGCTCTACTACCAACTACATCCATGGCCCTCTGTAGTTTGAGGCCAGGTCTTGAACCTATGTATCTTAGTCTGGTCTTGAAATCATGAGCCATAGTGCTGTGAGTACAGACTTACGCCACTATGTTCAGCTGGCATTTTCTTTTTTAAAATAATTTATTTATTCTTATTTTATGTACATTGGTGTTTTGCCTACATGTGTGAGGCTATCAGATCTTGGAGTTGCAAACAGTTTAGCTGCCATGTGGGTGCTGGGAATTAAACCTGGGTCCTCTGGAAGAGCAGACGGTGTTTTTAACCTCTGAGCCATCTCTCCAGCTCCCCCACCCACCCACACACACACCAGCTGGCATTTTCTAAGCTGTTTCAAAAGCCTGGTCTTAACACTACCACCGAATCCTGTGTGTTAAAAGCCTTCTCCTTTGGCTTGAACTTGGGCTAGTCCCCACTATGTGGAGTCTGGCAGCTGTGTGTTATGTATTTTGTCGGAGGAATGGGCAGGCTAAGGTTTTCCTGTGTTAACTCCAGAGAATCTCCTGACCAATTCTTCCATTCTTTCTTCTGCTTCTGTACTAAATGACTGAACATTCGTTGTCGGAGAGATTCTGCCAGAAAGCTGCGTCATCTAAGACTGAGCTCTGGCAGTTTTCTCTCTCCTTAATCCATCCTGCCTGCCTCCGAGCTCTGTCCGCCCCCCCCCCCATAGTGCTCATTCTCCATCTTTCCCATGTATTTCAAGCACCCACATGTCAGCTGTGTGGTCTGACTACCCCTCCTTCAAAGGCATATGACCATTGATTAAGGAGCCTCATTATTTCCACACTTCCCCCTCTGGCTTGAAAATGTCCTGTGTGAGGCAGAAACTTTTTGTTGCATCAACAGTTTCCAGTCATGCACCAATGGCACATTCTTACTAATTGACTTCATTATGTGAACATCATGGAGTCTATTTACACAAACTAAGATTGCTGCGATGTCACGAGGCAATCAAATTGCATGGGACTCCTTGTACCCCCCTGTGTATGTGGTCCATCATTGATCAAAATGTTGTGTGATGCCAACTTGGGGACTGTGGCTGCAACTCAGTTGGGAGAGTGCTAACCTAGCCTTTAGGAGGCTCTGTGTTCAATCCTCAGCACTAGAAACATGGGACATAGCAATGCATACCTGTAATCCCAGCACTGCGGATATGGAGGAGACAGGAACATCAGAAGGTCAAGGTTACCCTTGATGACAGAGCAAGTTCAAAGCCCACTGAGGCCAGTCTCAGGAATAAAACAAAATAACTTGAAGGCACATTCACCAGAAAGGGGCATTTGCTCTTGAGTATCAGCGGTCTCAAGGAACTCAAGCGTAGGAAGGGATTGATTGACATGTGCAGGAAAGAACTCAAACAGAAACCGCAAAGCCACCACTGCTTGTCAGACGCTTGTTTGTTACTCCCCCTCTGGCGCATTTTTCTCCTTTCCGTTCACTGCTTTCCTGTGCACCTGATGGAGCTGCAGTTCTATGATAGAGATACACCCCTGTCCTAACTAAATTGGGTCCAATCTCTGGCTGAGTCTGTGGCATGATAGTGCTAGGAACCAGATTTAATTCCTTCTCTAGATAGACAGAGAGAGAGAGAGAGAGAGAGAGAGAGAGAGAGAGAGAGAGAGAGAGAGAGAGAGAAGAGAGAGAGAGAGAGAATATGACACGTGGGCTCTGGCCATAGATATGACATACTGTAGGATGGTGGTCTCTGAGAAGGGAAATGGGTGAAGGAAGACAACGTGAGGACCCCGGCCCCTCTGGAGAGCATAGCTACTGTGCAGCGAGAGAGTTCAGGTGGAGGGGACAATCCTTAGAGTCCCTACATATCTGGAGATAGTGGAGGGTTCCCACCAGTGGTAAGCTTTGCAATTCACAAGGTATGGGGTAGAATATTCAGAAGGTATTGGTCACAGTAGGGAAAAGTTTAGTCCCGGAGTCCATGCTGGTCCTGCCTAACAAAGCTTGAAAAAAGAAAAATGGAAAGACTCAAACTGTCTCCAAGTAACTACACTCCAGAGAAGAGCTCAGGAATATTTATAAGAATACAAAAATATCCAGCACACAAGTTCATGACGTCTGTCTTCCAATCAAGGCCCTGGCCAGAGGAAGGAAGGAGAAAAGGATAAGGAACAATGTTCTGTCCTGGAAATTCTGTGAGCGCTAGTCTCATATTAAAGCTATCGTTATTTTTGTCTTTATATGCCTCAGTATTGCTTGCTTTAACAAACACACATCACTACTGTTATTTCAAAAGATGGAACAAGCCACTTAGGAAAATGAGAATCATAGGCAAAAGTACTTCTGCACTTTAGAAGTGACTGAAAGTCTCTTTCCTTGACTCCTTCCCTTTCTGCCTCGCTTTCTAGATGGTTCTCACTTTCTTTTCTGCCGTCTCTTGCCTTTTCCACGTAGTTTAGGTCAACATGGGGCTGCAGCTGTATGTTTTAGGTTTTTGAGAGAATGTTGTTGCTTGGCTTTGAGCACCCCATGCCCTCATTAACGCTAGTCTAAGGCCTCCTGGATCAGTGGTCAACGCAGGTAAAGCCTCTTGTGAGCCAGGCTCTATTTGCCTTGTCACTGGGTAAAGAAAGATGACACTTAGGGTGCACCTGTGTAGACTGCACCCATGTCCACCTCTACTGTTCCCGCTAGAGATCCTTCTCATGTGGTGTGAAGACTACTACAGGCTGTGGGTGAAGTGCCTGAAAGTGGAGGGGAGTCCACAGAGAGCAAAGAAAACAAGAGGGAGAGGCAGAGGAGGCAGAGGGCCGGGCCACGCAGAGAAAGGGACCACTCAGCGACGAGACCCAGCGACGAGAGCAGAGCGCTCCAGCACGGCGCGGACAGCGGGGTGGCAGGGAGAGCCGAGGGGGCGCGGAGGCTGAGCGCCCAGCCCTCGGACCCCCAGATCGCAGGAGGCGCCTAGAGTCACCGGGGCTTGGGACCGCACGGTCCGAGCGCACATCGCACGCACCTCGGGGATCCTGCGCGCACGGCAGCCGGCGATGAGCGAGAGCAGCCGCCTCTGCTCGGGCTACTACAGCCTCAACCGCAGCTTCGTGGAGCCCTTCCAGTGCCCGCGGCGCGGCGACGGGGCCGCGCTGCTCTACTGCTGCGGCTTCGCAGACCTCAAGTACTGCTGCAGCGAGCCGGGCAGCTACTTCCCCTACAAGCACAGCTACATGTGGAGCCTCAGGTGGGCAGGGCAGGGCAGGGCAGGGCGGGATGGGGCAGGGCAGGGCGGGGCAGGGCAAGGCAAGGTGACCCTTCCGGACCTGGGAAAGTGACCAGTGGAAGACACAAAGCTGGGATGGAGAGGTCTCCCAGTGCGCGCTGTATTCGGGTTCTTGTGCCAAGGCATCAGGCTTCTGAATGGTCGCTCTGCAGGGCACCCTGGAGACCAGTGGGCACCCTGTGCATCCCAGCCTACCTCGGGGACCACTGCTTGCGCGACAACCTGGAGGCTCCACTAACGAGACTGGAGGTTTTACTTCCTCTTTAGGTGTTTGTTCATTTTATACATTTGAATGGAAAGGAGGCTTCTTTGGAACCCCCGGGTTAAGGTATTAAGGACTAGAGGAGTACTCAAGTGTCACTGGGCAGCTGGAGTCTTTTAAAGGTGTGTGTGTGTGTGTGTGTGTGTGTGTGTGTGTGTGTGTGTGTGTGTGTGTGCAGGTGCATGTCTACAAACTGGGCTTTACAACTTGCTCTTCTCAGAGGTTCGGACAGTGTCACTGCCCAACCAGGCTGAAGATGGAAGGAAGAGCATGAGTTGCTCTGACTGCGCAGGAAGGAAGAGCATGAGTTGCTCTGACTGCGCAGGTAGCATGGCCTTTCTGGACACCCTTCCCTTACACCTGCACTGTTTGACCAACGCTAGACGCCAAGAGGCTTTACTTTCAAAGACACGTGTTTCTTGCTTCTTTTTCCTACAGTGGGGCTTTTCCTTGTTTCTGTTAGTGTTATGCAGGTGTTTTCATGATGAAATGCTCCGCTTCAAAGACAGCAAACTTTGACACTTTCAACTTGATTCTTTTCTTTTGTCTACAGAATGAGTGGGATCCTATTATAGAAAAAGAACTTCCATTCCCTCCACCATAAATTGTGTGTGTGTGTGTGTGTGTGTGTGTGTGTGTGTGTATGTGTGTGTACAGTACTATTGCTCTGCTCTCTCATCATGATCCAGAATTTGGCATACATGCCAGATCAACAGCAAACTTATTTTTTGAGGCAATAGAACAGATAACTACTTTTCTATATTGCAAACTTCAATAAACTCTCAAAAAGGCTGCCTTCCTTCTGGGAAGTCAACTGATCAGGTGGTTCTTAAGGAGAACAAACTTTGGCAGAAAATGATACCAACTTATTCACCATAGATTATTTGCAGGAAGAAGTGATGTTCTGCCCTAATATTTGGGCTTTTCAAGACTAGCTTGGTAATCCATCTGTGAGTGGTTTGAATGGCAGAAGCACCTCCAACAGAGACGGGCAATGCTCAAGTCAAACTCAGTTGGAAACGGTGCCCAGGATCTTCCGATCTCCCACGGTGGCAGGCAGAAGAGGCCATAAAACCTTCATAAGTTTTGTGAGAGCATGAAGGAGGGACAACCTGCTGGGGTCTACCTTCATCAGTACAAAATGAACAGCTAGTTCAGTGTCAGGGAGACAGAACAATCACATTAACTAAGGGCATCAATCGGCAACATTGATCCAGGGGTTCCTGTGAATTTCTGAGCCCTGAAAACACCGCAGGGAGGTAAATTTATTAGAGCTTCATTCATCTTCTATTCTTTGCTCTTCACTGCTAATTTAAAATGCTCCAAGTGCAAAAAAAAAAAGTTACAGAGGTGTGGTAATATATTGTGTACCCTAATAAAATTTCCCTGAAGATCAGATAACAGAACAAGCCACTAGATTAAACATAGAGGCCCAGCAGTGGTGGCACACACCTTTAATCTTACCACTCAGGCCGCAGAGATCCGTCTGGATCTCTATGAGCTCAAAGCCACACCGGACCACATGAGATTAACTCAGTATAGGAGAGGAAACAGAGCCAGGCAGTGGTGGCACACACCTTTAATCTTAGGAAGTGATGGCTGGGCAGAGAAAGGTATATAAGGCGTGAGGAGACAGGAACTAAAGGCTTTTCGGCAGAAGCATCCCTGTTAGCTAGAGGCTTTTTCAGCTGGAGCCTTTCCGCTAAGGACTCAGAGATATTGAGTCAGAGGATTCATGGAGTTGTCGGGGTGAGCTGTGGCTTGCTCTGTTGTCTCTCAGATCTTTCAGTATTGACCCCAATTTCTGGCTCCAGGTATTTTTATTAAAAGACCATTTCACAATTCATGTTTCACAGAAGCCACCAGCGTTGGTATTGAGATTGCACAGCTACCAGAGAAAGACAGCCGTAGCTACCTTGGGGCGAGTGAAGGTGCTGTGTAGGAGAATGATGGCGTGAAGAGGATGGCAGCTTCAGACACTTTCCAAGGGCTGGCAAAGCAGCTGCTCTGGGAAGCCAGGAAGAAGGATGATTCTCCCTTTCCAGTGCCTGTCCTTTCTTTTCTTCCCTCCTCATCTAAGCCCCTATATTCAAAGGGTCCCCTTCAGTAGCCTTTGCCAGGACTTCAGAAAATGAGGCTCATTGGGCAGGGCCGTTCACGGGTGGATGCTGAATAAGTGTGTGTGGAAATGACCAATTTAGGAGACTCCTTCCTGGCTCCCCATCTTTACATGGAAATCTGCAGGCACATATGGAGCCATGGCGCAGTGTTAACATGCTCTCTGGGTTTCCTCCAAATTGTGTATTGTTTTAACAACCTTGAACATTGAACATTCATGATGTATATGCTAGATTTCATCAGACTGACAAATTTTCACTTACTAAATCACTTTTTAACCTTGAAAATTATTTTCAACAACCAGGTCTCATTTCAGGAGTCTGTCCAAATACCTCACCTATCTGCTTTATGCACAAAGTGATACTAAATGGGCTACATTCTCATGTGTCTGTGTCTAGAAAGGTGGAACTAACCCTCCCGGACACAGTTTGCAGGAGGCAAGGTACGAGGGTTTCTTTCCTAATCCTATTACAGGAAAGGGTCATCAGAATGGCAGCCTCCAAGTTCATGAACATAACTCTGTTTGGATCATGACGTAAAATGATCTAGTCTTCACTATATGCAGGGCTGGTTGGGGCAGAGTCAATGTTAATAAACCAAGCACAACAATCTGGAACTTTGGCTCCATGTTGCCTATAGCTCAGGAGACAATCTCTTGTGTGCAAGGGTGTTTTATCTCCTCAAATCAAGGCAGAGTAGAGAAAACAGCCTGTCACCTTCAATACTGTTCATTCTCTCAAAGCAGTGATGCTCCAGGCATCCCTGATCAAATTCTGCTCCTCCACCCTGCCCCCCCGCTACCTCCTTCCTTTTGGTAAAAGTCAAGCTTGCTAAGGGCCTAATCCCTGAGAGAAAGCAGAAGCCTGAAGACAAGCCAAGAAGATAATGAAGACTCCGATCATTATTTTTCAGTGATGTGCATTCCAGTTGCTACAGGCAGATCAATCGTGAGTTAATTGGTGTTTACCCTCATCTGTTGAATATTTTCTACAAGCTAAACACACGTAAATACTTATTCACAACGCTATGGGGAAACCAACTGAAGTCTGCTCGTGAATAGCCTAACATCTAATTATGGCTGTTTACACAAGACTCAAGAGACACGCGTCTGCATACAGTTCAGTGTGGCGCTGGCTTTTCAAATTCCCTCTCTTATTTAATGGTACCAAGTGCACAGGTTTTATGAAAACTGCTACTTCAGTGTCTAGCCATATGTGTAAGCACATAAACGAATTGCTCCAAATGTGGTGCAGAGAAAAGGACAGGAAAATCTCAGACTTGGAAAGTGAATTTCATGTACATTCTGTGAACAGCTTTCTTTTAACTAAGGCCTCTTCTCTTTTGTGATGGTTGTGGTTTTTGTATATGAACACATGGCGTCTTTCATATCTATCTCTAAGTGAGAAGTCTTACATCTCTGATAAGTGTGTTTCCTGACTCTTACGGAAGCAAGTATTTTCCTGTTTATCTTTCATTTGTGAAACTGATCATTCTAAGGTGTGGTATTAATTTGATTAACTTGACTAATTGGACTGAGGTATTTATGATGTCCCTAGAGAATCATGCAACATTTAACCTGTCTCATAGATGCCATACTAGTAATAACATACAAATTTTAAAGGTCCTGAAATACAATGGACAGACTATGACAGGAATCCGGGATGGAAATTTCAATCGTTTACTGTTTGTAGGAAAACAGAATTTGACTACGAATGAGTGAGAGCAAGAATGAACACTGGTGTCTGGTCCTGAGCACTGGCGTCTCTGGTCCGGCTTGAGCGCACAGCAGTTTGGATGACATGGCGTCTTTCTGTTTCCCCAGCATCGGAGCTCTGGTTGGACTGGGAATCGCTGCCCTTGTTTTGCTCGCCTTCGTCATCAGCGTCTGTGTCCTTTGCTACCTATTTCTGTACACAAAACCTCAACGATTAGACAACGGCCTCAAACTTCAGCACCTAGAGGCAGCTTCCACCCTAGAAGGTAACCCGAATCTACTGTTTGTAATCGGGTACCTGTACCATATCTCAGCTGGGGGACAGAGCGCACTGTTAAGAATCAATACTCTTTAAAGGTTCTGTTTACCGTGTATCCTCTCAAGACTTCACGTTGAATCAGCCTTAAGTGACGCGATACTTCAGGGGAATTGTGTTCAAGGAAAACTAGCAGATTGTAAATGCCCTCGTGGGAAGCAAGTCAGGGGGCCAGTACCTTCGTTTCTATGTCTTTAATTCCCTTTTAGTTATCAACATGTATCCTCTTGAAAAAAAATTACATTTTGGTTTTCTGGAGGAACCTAAGACATCAAGCACATAAAACAACAATATGCCCAGTAGGACCCTCTTGGTACTGCCCTTGACACTGGTCCATCAGTGGTCAGACTGGCACCTCGTGTGAAGGGGGTATCTAAAACCATTCAGAGGTTTGCAAAAAGCCTGAAAAACAAGTAGAACGTTCTTGGTTGTTGAATAGCCTACAAACTAATTCATTCTATTGGTGTGTGTCTATGTGCACAATGTAACTATAAAGTGGAAAGCAACTTTTATGCATCATTTGCGGACTCTATATCTTTCTGGTGTTCCAGTCATAAAGCAGTATATAGATATCAGCTGCTGTTGTTATAAAACTATCAAGATTCTGTGAAAATTGATTTCTACTAGTGTATTAGGAAACACCAATCATGAATTTTTGAAATGTGTGTATGCAGAATATATTTTAGAGAATATGTAGGTAATAATACATAAATTTAGGATCTATGTTGACATATTTAGAATAGCATGTGAGTGTTTATTGCTTCCATTTAAAAAGGAGAATCTTTCTTAAAACATGAAGGAATTCTCTGCTCATAGGCTGTATTTTAACTGAGTGATGGAATCTGTCAGGTTTATAATGTACCTGCCCTGTGACCTTATCAAATATGTCACCATTACCATGTGCCTGCATTAGCTGCAGTCTCCTCTGAGGAGAAGAGAAGAAACTCCCAACCCCTCATGTCCTCTTGTCACAGTACAGCAGGACAGATCCCTCTGGAGTTCTCTTCCCAAAGCACTCATAACGAGGGGCCAAACTGACAGTCTCCGAGCTGAATTCAGTCCAAGTGACTTTGACCCAGTTTCTCCACAAGCACAAGCGTGCGATTGATTGGTGATTATCACATCATCAGACTGTAAAAGTAATTATTGTCTCATTTGCTTAGATGATTGAAAATCATGGGTCGGAATCTGTTCTATGCCCAAGAATCACCTAGGGAGGGACCATGTTAAAAACACAGCTTTGCTGGGCAGTGATGGCCCACCCCTTTAATCCCAGCACTTGGGAGGCAGAGCCAGGCAGATCTATGTGAGTTCAAGGCCAGCCTGGTCTTCAGAGCAAGATCCAGGACAGGTACCAAAACTACACAGAGAAACCATGTCTCAAACAAAAAAAAAAAAAAAAAAAAAAACAAAAAAAAACAACAACAACAACCACACACACACACAAAAAACAAACCAACAAACCAAAAACACCCCCAGAAAAAAAGCACAAAACAAAACAAAACAACACAGCTTCTCAGCCCCAGCTTTTCTGACAAGCACCTCTTCTTTTCCCTCATCCTCTTCTTCCTGCTTTCCATAGTGTGGTCATGGCGAGACTGTTCAAAACTAAGACACTCCTCAAACTCCAATGTTTCACCAACCCTCTCTATGGATACAACTCTCCACCTTAACCTTTTGTGGTCAGCCTTCTAGGTCTTTCTTTTTCTAACCTCCTTTTCCAAACCACATTGAGCCCTTTGCCATTCCTTGAGCTTCTTGATGAGGGCCTTGGCACATGCCACCACCATTTCCTCCAACATCTGGGTGACTTACAGTGTCTTTAACTCTTTCCTGAAATGTCCTTTTCCCAGGAGTACCTCCTCACGCGAATTCTCAACTTCCTTCCTGCTCTTCCTAGTCAATCCCCCCACACACACACACCAAGCATTTCCTACTAACAGACTACACATTTGACTTAACTATTATTTATTTACTTATCTATTTGTTGTCTATAAATTTCTGACATTCTGACTGGAAACTAAACTCCAGCAAAGTAAAAAGTTCTGTCATGTTTGTTCACGGTGATATCCCAGGTGCCTATCACACCCAAACATTCCTTAAAGGAATGGACTTGACTAGTCTTACATCTCTACTGCTCTCAGGACCATATCTTGGAATCACTGACCAAGTACGGTCGTTGCTGCAGTCACTGAACAGGCATTGAGTGTGTCTTTTATGTAATTCACTGTGCTCAATCAAAGTGATCATTTTTCCTGGTTTAGCTCAAGGACTATTGCAAAATTTCATTTCGTTTGCTCTGTGAATCCAGAAGCAGAATTACTGGCATGTCAATTCAGATTTGGCATGTTTCTTGCTATTTAGTGGATGAAGCCAGTTAAGGTACTTCTTAGGACGTTAGATGAGACTGCTTACTTGCAATGAAATCTCCCCAGTTTGTTCCCCACGAAAATGTTGTATCAAGGTAGCAAGTTAATTTAATAGACCTTTCCAGAATCTGGATATTAGAATGCAGCATACAAAATTTAAAGTAACCAGTGCCTTGCTGTTGCTTTCAAAGGACGGCATTTTGGTCCCGTGGGTTGATTTTTTCTTTTCTAAATCATAGTGTAGAGCACAAAACAAAAATAGGTAATCTATTTGCTATTGGAATGGGTTCCTCTTGAATCGACCCTTTGAAATGATAATTAAACATTGTGCACTTTATTAAATATGAGTGTCCCATTCTTGCATCCTAGCAAGAGATGCCGTTGTTCAAGCTGTGGGAAAGACAAGTTAGGGGTATTATTGCATTTAGAAAAGTGTTAAAGATTAGAAACATAAGGAAATGTTTGCATAATTAATCAGGCTTGTAAGTAGTATATCTGAGGGAAAATTGATTTCACCAGTTACAAGCCTTTTATTTCAACACTATCTCCTCTTAAAAATGTATCTGACATTATTTTATACTAATACCTAACATTATCGCTTTTATTTTCTGAAATTCTGATTGCATAATTCCCCCTTCCCCTTTCCTGCCTTAAAACCCTCCCACATGCCTCTCCTTGTTCCCTTTTAATGTCCTCTTTTTTCATTAATTGTTGTTGCACACACACACACACACACACACACACACACACACACTCCTAAATACATGAATACAACCTGCTCACTCTGTATAATATTACATTAACTATGTTTTCAGGGCTGAACATTGTTATTAGATAATCCATTGTTGTTTTCTTCCCTGGGAAAACTATTTAGATTAATTTGTATAGTGGAGACTGTTTTCATTATAGATAATTTGAATAGATCACACAGGAGGAACTGTGTTCTTGTACATATCACAATGAATATAGGGACAATGGTATAGGTCTAAAATCGGCTAATCATAGATTACACTGCCCAGACTTTGCCTCAGCCTATTTTCATTCCATGGTATTTCGATTTTAAATGTGTACAGCTTGAGGCTTTACAGTCTTTGAGTTGATCTTGAAAACGCAGGGAGGTCTCTTCTGGCCATGGCTGCAGACATTAGTGACATAATCTCTGTTGTCCGCCCTGTACTGAGCACCTCTCACTGAGTGACTGGTGGCCTTTTACACTGTTTTCTTCTTTTTAAACTTTTACATTTTGGATTATGCACATTTCAAATGCCAATACTCAGAAGAACGCCATGGCGTGTATTGTTGTCTCTTGGACACTAAGTTGCCAAGCAAAAGATGCCTATGTGAAGACAGTCCTCACCATGAGGGCTCATTTCAAGGTTGTGGGAGGATATTCATGGGGCCAATGAGGGAGCAGTCAGAGGGACAATGTCATAGATCATCGCTTCTCAAATGTTTCCATAGGGAAGGTCTTAACAGCCTTATCAGAAATGAAGTCACGGCCCCAGAGTTCTCAGGGCTAGAGTGGGAAAGGTTTGCCTTAAACCTTCTGAGTTTCATCTCTTAATTGTTCCTGTTGCTTTAAACTTTGTGGGTGTTTTCAAATGACTGCATAGTGTAAAGCTTGCTCTTCTCTAATTATGACATCCGTCACCCAGACCTAAGTAAAAACTGCTGCTTCAGGAAGATAAAGCCTGTCCACCCTGAGGGTTCGAGTAGGTTGAGTAGGTCCTGTGGAGGGATGGGGACTGATCAATGGCAGGGACTCTGAGAAACGGTGTGTCTGATAAAACATAGGAAGGCGGTATTAGGAGAACTGGTAGGAGCGATAATACAATTGTATAGAAATAACAAACACCCGCAAGCTGGTATTTGCTGGTCGCCTTGGAAAGGTGGAAGATAGAAATGAATAAAGGTAGATAAATTAGCAGTAAGACACGGTTACATGGGCGGAAAAATACAACTGCCTATGGAATACTGAGAGAGTATATTGGAGAAAAATCACATCATCGTTTATTGTGCCCATGAGCGAAAGGAGTCTTAGGGTGACTTGAAATGGTTTTGTGTTTCTTCTTAGAAGATGCTCTCGCTTCCTCAGAAAGGCGAGTTTCTTTCTGCTCATGTTCATTGTAGAAACCCTGGAAATCCTGAGAAACAAGCAAATGCTCTCAGCACAGAGGTGGAAGGTGTTAGCACTGCGGTAAATATCCTCCAGGGGGGTTTTCTGTGTATCCCTAGATCACATAGAAAGCAAAGTGGGAAACAGCGGGACATGGCAGCCTAAGTCTGATCCCAGCACTCAGGAGGGTGAGGCAGGATGGTCACAAGTGTAAGGCAAGCCTGGGCTATATAGTGGGATTCTTCATACAGTCTGTCTGTCTGTCTGTCTATCTCCCTCTCTTCCCTCTCCCCATCTCCCTTAAAAACAAAAACACGAGCCGGGCGGTGGTGGCGCACGCCTTTAATCCCAGCACTCAGGAGGCAGAGCCAGGCGGATCTCTGTGAGTTCGAGGCCAGCCTGGGCTACCAAGTGAG